CACGCACAAACACACACACGCACAAACACACACACGCACAAACACACACACGCACAAACACACACATAGACACAAACACACACAAACACATACACGTTTACTCATATATAGGCAAACACACATATGCCCATATACATACATGTGTACGTACAAATATGCATAAACATGCGCATATTCACTCACAGTACAAAACAACTGTCTTCAATCCCAGCAAGCCTCTTAGCGTCACTCCTTTTCCTCACTCTCCACCCACCTTTCTTACACTTATTCCTTTTTTACACCGCGCATAAATCCAAGAAGCACGGATTTATCTCCTTTATTATTTAAGGAAAACCCTGCAGCAGAGTCTGCTTATTTAACAGTCACTTGCTAGGATATTGCGTATACGTTTTAAAAATTCTGCTGGACATTTTCATAGTGCGTTAGGACTAAAATTAATCCGCAGTCAAAGATTTTAATAATAGTGATAATGATTGCAATAATAATTGTGACAGCAGTAGGAATAGTAACAATAAACAGTAATAATAATAGTGATAATAGTAATAATAATAATGATAGTAATGTTTGTGATAATAGTGATAGCGATGACGATTATTTGATGAAAACGGCTATCAGATATACAGGGGTTACATGCAGATCCCGAATTTTGAATTTGTAGATGAATCAATTTGTATACTCACATGCAGCTCGTACTTGTGCGAATTCCGAACGAACCGCCTGAGCATCTCCATCAGCGGAAGCATAGCACTCACAGGTAAAATCATTGGGCTGAGCACTGGAATTTATCTCCTGATGGTTTATTTCAACGGTGGCTTTGTAGAACGGGCGATGCGTTGTCGGATCGATTCCCTGTGATATATTGTGACGTGAATCGCTTAACTGAAATTGATAACTTTTCCTTCCTGCATTCATTAAACGCAGGAACGGTGCAGTGGAAAGCCGCACTGTTCTTGCGCAGATGGTTAAAGGCTCGGGCAACCAATCCCTCTACAATAAGTTTTTTCGATTCAGCAGTGAACTGGCACTAACGCACATGCTTGGGAGTTACGCTAACCAACTGCTTGCTTCTAAAAATCCCAGGAAGAGGGGACCATCGGTAGTGACTGCTGTTGGCATTTGCTACTGCTCGAGTTACTTCCGAGTGCCTGCACCCATCATAAACAGTGAATGCGGAGAGTGTTTTGAGGCCTCTGACTAATAAATTAAAGAAAAAAAAAATCTTAACTGTTTTCCAAAAAAAATTATGATTTAGCACTTTAGTTTGGCCGTTCTTAGAACGACCACTTTTTTGTCTCCTCATCGCTTTCGCTTTTTAACATCAGTGTATAATTTAATTTATGGCATTCAGTTTAAAAAATGGTAACTAATCTAACAAGTTAGTAATAAGTAATAATAAATTCTAAGAATAATAATATTTATAGTAGCAAATAAAAATTGAAAATACTCGAAATTGAGGTTACATAGATTTTTAAAGGACTCTTTATCGACTTCTCCATGAAGCAAATCAAGCAGACATATGTGTAACTTTCTAGAATAAAATTGCAAAGTTTTACAGTGACAGTATCTCAGTAGTATTCCGGGAAACAAGATCGCTCTAGAGCCGGAAAATAACCTGATTTTTTTGCACTATCATTTCAAAAAGCATTATTTTCGAAGCGAACAACGAACCCAATTCCCATTACATTTGAAGCGTATTTGTTTGGCATTGAGTGCCCGGCACGTCAACGTGGCATTCCGTGAGCGTGTAGCGTAAGCGGTTTGCGGCGACTCGATCAGCACAATCTCATCCATCACTGCAAATAATCACACAGCTTAACTGAACAAAATTCCACGGGCAAACACATTTCAGCTAGCGACACTCTCTGGTTTGCAGAGTTTCTCAAGAAGTATCGAAGTGATATCGAAATTATAGGGATATAAAATTATAAATATCCGTTGGAGAAGGAAGGAGGGCGTCAAATCATTTGTCTTTTAACGAATTTAGCATAGCAGGATCACAAAGGAGAGAAACCAATAGTTGAATTTTGATAATTTATAGGAAACATTCAGAAGTGACATTTACGCCTCACATATAGGCAAGCCTGTATACCTCAACTGCGGCAATTAAAACGACAAAATTACTAGTTTGCAAGAGCTCGCCGTGTTCTGATAAGTACTATTAATACAGAGTTATTCAAGAGCACCCGAGTAAACGACCCAGCTGAACTTATCTGCATACTAAGCGAGGCGATAATTTACAGAGTATAGCAATAAGTAACTGAAATTTTCGAAATACCCTCTTCTGTTACCCACACAATAATTTAGATTAGTTTTTGCGCACAGCAGTAATTAGCTAAAGTACAGAAATGAATTTTCACACTACTTCCTTCTGTTATCTGCACAGTAATCGGGGCAGTAGTTTGCAGTGTATTGCAATAAGTAGCTAAAATGCAGTAGGAATACTTCTTTCGTTTAATAATCCGCGTTAGGGGATTGTTACTCACTTCTGTGTCTCTTGCAAAATGTTTGAAACAATCTGATAAAATCACGAAGCACTAAGCTGAACCTTCTCTCAATGGTTATTTGATAATCGATGGTAAGTAAATTACTAGCCTAAAACAATTTAATTAACACTATTTCATGAGTAAACGCTCTGGCAATAGTAAAGTAAATTGAACATATTAGTGACCGGAACCTCCAGTACACAATTTAGCTGAATTTAAGACATTCGGTCCATTAAGCTTATTATAGTATCTTAACTTAGCACCACAACTGGACCTCGTCAGTACAACGATTGTGACATCAATTATTATGTAACAAATATGTGAAACCACTTATTATTTTGTAAGCTAATTGTAGAGGAAAGCTAGAAGAGA